CGAAACAACAGCGGCAGAACTGTCGAACGAATTTGCAGGAGAGGAAGATGTCGCCTCAATAATGGCAGATTACGGCAATTCGACCGTACCCAGCGTGCTTATCAGTAGAGAACGCGATGACTGTCATCATGCGAGCGGAGCCAGCGCAGAAGTTTCAGCTGGTGGTGTAGGGACGTTCTTGCACGCTCCTGAAGAAACAAGTACGACTCCTGTAGTTATAGTTGATGAAACCGGTCGATCATTCGGCCCTTGCCCAAAATCCGTCCTCCAGAAAAAGCCGTATTACGGTAGCAAAGCAGCTGTTGCGGACATGCATGAGGGGCAGCCCATCTCTCTGGGAAGCGTCAAACAAACAGTGGACCTGACACGACTAGGCCTTGATCGACAGTTTAATGAAAAGGCATATGAGTCACTGAAAGTCTGTAACAACCTTTTCTTTTCGGGAGGCGAAGGCATGCGCAATTTTTCCGATCCTGCTTGCGTTGTCGCCCACCTGGATGAAGCATCACTAAGCATTAGGACCCTCGACAAAGCAAGTCTCCGAAAGCTCCACCCCAGGCTAAAAGCCGCACTTGTTCTTGCATCAAACCTCACTTTGAGGAGACAAAAAAAAGAATGGATCCGTAAGCTTACTTCCTCAAATACCTTGCATTTGGCTTGGCACGTCGTCGAAACTTTCTCAGAAATGAACGTGAGCATGCTGGAGTCTAATGTTGGAGAGGCTCTAAATAGCATTGTCATGAAGGATCTACGTCTTCTTCAGCCCTTGAAGGATCTTATTCAATTCGGTTTGTTCCCCACTTTACACATATCCTACAACCAATCTTAGGCATGATCCCTAAATCAGCTGAGCAGTGGCTGCGTTTTCTGTAGGTGAAGAATGCTGAATAGCCAACTTCAACATCCAGACAAGCGTGAGCGAGCAGTACTGTTTTACAATGTCCTTCTGATGACACTGCAGCTACTACGTGCACTACGTATGAAGAATATCCCGAAAAATCTTGGCAGGACACGGTGCGTTTCCCCAGCCCCGACAGCCCACAGTACAAGACGTATCCTATATACGATTACTTGCGAGCAGTGGGAGCTGATGTGTCATTTCCTCGAAGCATCCCAGCAGACTGGCAGCCTCGGGTGTACGATGGAAATCGAAGGACTCGTCGTGCCATCGGTGAACGCGATAGTTCCAATTTTTCAGGAGACTGGAAGAAGCGAGTGTACAATTCTTGGCACAATCTTTGGGTTCTCCATCTGGTAGTACATGACGCTGGGTCAATGTGGCAATGGAGCCAACATCTCAACGCAAGTACTTTCTTCTTCAAACCGTGGAAAGTCACTCGTGTGGCTGCCCTGAAGGTTGCGGAAGCAGGTGACTCACACGGAGTCAAAACCTCCAAAGAGCGTGTATCAGATCTTTGCATGATTGCGAAAGGCATAACCTGCAAAATAGCTCCACAGACAAGCACGTGCCTGCTGTCATTGGCTAAAATCTTGTTAAGATGTGCATTAATCACTGTCCATTAATCACTGTGCCTGCAGGACCCCTGAGGTACGACGACCTCTCAGCAAGGTTCCGTGTAGATCCAAGCATTCAGGAGGAGAACAATAAATATGCATCATGTCCACAGCACCTGGTTGACACGGGCTTCTTTGACAAGGTTAAAGCGCCAAGAGGGCGGCTGACAGCACAGTGGGGTCGGATGGACCTGTGGAAATCCATCGGGTTACTAGGCTGGAACTGCCCAGTGAGCGAAGTCGATGTACCTTGCCCCCCCCAAATCTACCCAGATAAGTGCGGGGTTGATGCAACATATATCAGGCCTGTAGAAGCGCCATGGCTTTTTCGACTGGAAAGGGAATCAACATGGGTTACATGGGAAACGGATGAGACACAGAACGACTATGTGGACAGAATATGGGCTGCTAGAGGCACCACTTTCCCTAAGGTGTGTTGGTCCACTTCCGGCCTTACTACGTGAGCGACTGTTCAAAATGTTTGATAAACTGTTCAAAGTGTTTGATAAAATACCCTAGTAACAGCGGAAAGAACTAACTCTGCTCCTAGGATCCGCAGTAGACACTGCTTTTACTTGATGCTTTTAGAAATATAAACCCTAGCGTTTGCAGTGAACCCTTGTGGCAAGCAATGCTTCTGCGAACTCGATGGTGCAGCTTTGGCTTCTGAATACCATGTGGGATACTACTTCGGATCCAGAGTTGTCGCCTTCTGGGGAAGGAAAAATTCATTCTGGTTTTTTGTTTGCGTTTCGACGCATTTTAAAGGAAATGCTTGATGATGATGTTCTTGAAGTGGCAGAAAAAATTCATGCGACGGGGAAGCGGCAGGTGGTGCTTTTTACTGGCCATTCTCTTGGGGGAGCGGTGTCGCAAATTGGTGCTTGGTACTACGCCGTGAAGTCTCGCAGCCTAATTCGTCAGGGCCTTCTACAGATCAGATGTGTCACATTCGGTGCACCTGCAGTAAGAACAAGAAGAATGAAATTAGGCTTGTTAGTTAGCCTTGCAAAACAGAGCAGCGCGGCACCTAAATAAACGAGCAAAAACTCCGTTTTTTCTGGGCCGTGGTTGTCCTGTTTGGCTTTTGTGTCGCGAGCAGTGGGGAAATGAAGTTGCCTATAACGAATTTATGTCTACGGGAGTTATCATACACGACATCGCAACGAGCATGGATCCCGTTACCACATTAAATGGCGAACCAGAACTCGGCCACGGACTTCAATGGAAAAAACCGTTTCATCACAGAGTAAGCTGGAGAGTTCTGCATCTAGCTACGTGTTTTTTCTAGCAGGAATTCGTTATTCCTACATTGAGAAGCTACGCTAGCAAACCTGAGCACACAAACATAAAGGTGCTTACGTTGCTTGTGAGGTTGCTGAAAGCCCTAATTGTAGCTCTCGAAAGCAGTTGCATGCCTTTTAGGCCCTTCCCTTGATTGTGGAGTTAGATTGAAACTGTGCCGGTCTAGCTGGGATTTAAGTTGCTTCTGCACATCTATATTTTTTGACCCTCCTACCAGATCATGTTGGACGACCTAAAACAAGTTGTTGTTGCGTCGACGAATCCCCTAGAGCCTGACTTTGATGGCCGGCTATGGACACGCACGGACCTGCATGCTGGGAGTTTCCTTAAACGCACATTTGGCGCGTTCGCTAGCATGAAGAACGTAGACTCGGTCTTCCTGAATCCAGTGCTCACTCACTTTCTGTCGTATACCGCAGTCCTCACAATCATGGCAGACTTGGTACCCGAGGCCGACTTTGGTTCGGGACTTGCTGCCCCTCTAATAAACGATCCGCCCATCAGTTACTCAGCTCACTCGTTGTGCTCTGCATTAATAGCAGCTCAAGGGAAGATGAGGTGGGTGATGACTCAACTAGCACTTGAAGCTAGCAGAGAGCCCAGGGTCATCTAGATTTGATCATTGGAATCGCAATAGGGCCTGCTCCAGGAAGCCACCTCCATTCAATAATCCTAGAATGCATTGTTCGCACGCACACCAGGTGATTTATGCCCTCAAAGGGCAAAAAAGCCGTTTTTTTCTTTTGAAAGAGCCCGTGGCGGGCTTACGGCTTCTAGACAGTCACCGGTTCGGCGCACACTGCACCTATATTTCCTCTCCGTTGCTATTCTCACAACTAAAATCATTGGGCAGTGATATATTTATGCATATGACTGATTGCAAGATATTTCATGGCATCATTTTTACCGCAGTGTGCAGTCCTACAAGTTGCCTAATCGAACCCGGTGGAGCGAAGCTGCGCGTGGTCATTGCTTCTGTAGGCTATCCTTCTGGGAGAGCTCTAGTATAGCTGCTCAACAGATTTTACAGTATGTGGACTTCACAGAACGGAGCTGCTTCCTTGGTTACTGTTCGTGCTTTCTGCCTTCCTCAATGGCAGCTTCGCATGTGCAGCACACGCCAAACCAAGAAGCAGTTAGTGCAGGTCACTTCCACATTAGGATGCAGTACTGTACTCTTGAAAAGAAACGGTTTAGACACTTACTTTATTCTTATTGCCCTGCTCTGCACTTCATATGACTGTCATACGACTGTCCTTTCCTAGGGCTACTAACGTACTCTTCCGCATATGGAATTAAAATTGGGCGTAAGCGGCATTGAAGGCCATTATCATAAAATGAACACATTTAAGACATGCCCTTTAGACGTACAGAGAATTTTTTCTGGAATAAAGCGCTGAGTGATTGTTTTCGCGCAGCAGTGCTCAAGTTGATGAGCAAAGGAAGTCATTTAGCCTGCGGGCTTTGTACGCCACATCAAACACTGCTACTCCCCCACAGTGAAACTGAGCAGCTCCATTTAACAACCAAAGCAACACACTGCGCAATGCAGATTAGTAAGACACACGAAAGGTAGTGGTTTGGTACGCCCAGCGCACCGTCATACACGTCCTTGTTGGACGTGTATGCTTCACCGAGCGCAGCAAACTCATTTCATCTTAATTCCTTATTCGACCAAACAATTTAGCTTAATTTGAATTTGTTCGAACTCGATATGTTGGTTGAACAGCAGCTGCAATATACTTGGCGCTTGCAGAACACTGTCTGGTGATCCAGCGTGCGCCTGCTCATGCGGTTTGGGAACAACATAGAAAACAATACGCCATGTACATTAACTAAGTCATTCCTCTTTTGTAACATAAATATGTAGCTATTGCTATCAGGGGCTTGACTGAACACGGACAACGGTCTTCTGCAGCAATGGGCAGGCGCTGATGTGCTCACCTGTGTATCCTTCGAGCTCACATAGTGAAGACGCGAGAACATTTTAGCCTCTGTTCATGCCTAAAAGCAAGAGGAAATCCATGTTATACACCAGGAGGCTCTTTTGTAGACTGAGGCGACGTGACGGGGACGAGGGCATGCAGGCGCACACCCCGCTTGCACAAGCACTGAACGAAAGGCTGTCTGTTGAACTTGTAGTACGTCGGCTTCAAGCCGGCGGGTAGGACGATTAGAAGATGGCTCTGAGAGCGCGACAGGAGCAGCAGCTCCATCTGGCCATTGCTCTCTATCTCGAGTCGAAATTTCCAGAGGCTTACAGAGTGTTTGAAAGGGAAGCACATGTAGACGTAAGTACTTCTACTCTTCACATTTTCTAATCCGCAGAGTATGCTAGGGCTGTGTGCATCGTTTGTGCATGGTTTCCTGGCGTCTTGTGTGGTCTATGGCCAGAATCTAGCCTGCTGCGCCTGTCGACTCCTCAGTTATGTGCTCGGGTTGATTGTTGCAGTGTCTGCTTGTGAGCAGTTTTCTGCTGCGACAGCCTTAACTCACGGGAGTGAGAAGTTTGACAGTGAAACATTACCAAAGCGATGGGGTGCTACGGCCCGCCTTCAAGCTCGTGTGACTGTGCTTCAAAATCAGCTCCAGCAGCAGGGACAACAACTAAAACTGTTCACATCCACAGCGTGCAATTCAGGGAACAAGAAAGCAGCAGGGCTTCCAAGCTTCAAACCATCCTACGTGATATCTGCTCAGAGGCAGCCCGTGACATGCTGTGTTTTCCACCCTCTTTTACCCCAGCTCTTGATCGGAGCAGACGATGGCAACGTTCGTGTGAGAATCTGCTTTCACGCAGTTCTTGAGGCACTGCAGGCACATTAGCTTTTTGATGAGGCGCTCAAGCATTTCCTACTTCCCCAGACTGTCATTTCTGGTTGCCGCGCAGGTCACATCAGTGGAAGGAAGCGGCCCTGGTGCGATCACGCGGATTTTTAGGGCACACCATGCATCAGTTACGGGTTTAGCATTTGATCCTTCAGGCCGCTGGTGAGGTGTCCTCTTGTCCACACTGTCTTCGTGCGAATCTAAATAAGCTTCCGTACCAGTTTAACGGCAGCTTTGAGCAAGATGCGTATTTTGCAAGGCGTTCCTTTGGAACTATTGTAACTCTGTGAATCCGCATTAGGGGGCTCAGTTTCGCTCGACGTATGCAAGGTTCGTGTTTTTCAGGTTAGCTACGTGCTCCAGTGACATGACGCTTCGACTATTCGACGTCCAGACTTCGTATACACTGAAGGAAACATTGAGAGGCCATGATGATTCTGTTTCGGTATGTTGACTATTTACGTCATTTGCGTCGTCACTCTTTCAGCATTGAACTCTGGCAGGTTCAAGCGAGTGCTTGCATTGGATCCTTACTATGCAGGCCATTGCATTTCTTACTTTGAGGGATAACAAAGGAAGAAATGATGTCGCTCCTATGCGCCTGCGTGGACTGAGCAACGGAGGTGTTGCAGACGGGGACCCGCACGGAAATGACTCTGGTAGCAGCACCTGCATCATTTCTTGCTCACGAGATGGCTCACTGAAGCTGTGGGATGCAGAAACGGGCCTCTGTCTTCGGACATTTACCCCCGTAGATACAGCAGGGGCCTGGGGGGTCGGTGGAACTGCAGGGAGTGGTGGCTCGTGGGTCCGCTGCCTTTGCGTGCCTGAGGCAAAGCTGCGTCCTGCCCCTTTTTTCGCATCTGGTGGAAACGATCAAAGGTAATTCAATGGGGTTTGTGACACGTTTCCCTTTCGTCAGTTACCCATCAGTGAATAGACTTCAGATTATCCTGCTGACTAGTAGGGGTTTGGGTGCCAAGCGATATACATTAACTCTAAACATTGTAGCACTTCTGTCAGTGTTGCTCCAAGTGCAATACTTTGCCGCTTTAATGTGCCTTTCCTGCACCCCTTGACCCGTTGATGCTTCTTATACCTTCCAGGGTGGTTATTTGGAGGCCAGACTTCACATCAGCCGTCCGAGAACTTGTCGGCCACCAGCACGTCATTGAATCGGTTACCTTCGCGACAGAGGCAATGCTACGCCACATGCATGCTCACAGGATGGCGCCACCACCCTTACCGTCCTCCATGCTGGTCAGGATCTGTAGCACAGTGTTAGTATAAGCAGGTCTTGGCGAGGAGACGCGCCTCATACAGCATGATTTACACGAATTGTACTGCACAGCAAAGCTGTATAGCAAGAACTGACTCTGTCGTACGCCCCTTCTTTTTCAGGACACAAAGGCACTTTTGGAGGCAGAAGGAGAGGGAAAGACAACTCACGCTCTGCGGATAGCGGGCTTGGTACTTATTTCCGCTAGCCGCGATAAAACCATTAAAATGTGGGATGTCATCGGAGGCACTTGCATTCAGACGCTCGTAAGTTACAGTGAGAAAACCTTGCAGCACGTTTCATAGGTATACCTGTGGTATGCAGTCAGCCTTTTCATTTTCCCTGTTTCATTTTGCTTGCTGCGGTATTTTCCGTTACTCCGAAGGTAGGTCACGATAACTGGGTCCGGCAGGTTGTCGTACATCCTACTGGGGAGCACATTATTTCTTGCAGTGACGACAGAAGCATAAGGACATGGAACGTTCTAACAGGTGAAATGCCAGGCTTGCCGTTCAGCGCGCCTAAATTTTCACCTAGCCAGCCATGTTTCACCGAAGAAAGTAAACGATATCTAATGACTGTTGACATAATTTAGTCCTCGCTGCGCACATCATCGGGTCATGTTGCCGGACTACGCAGGCGATTGCGAGCGGACGATTGAAGGCGCGCACTCGCAATTTGTGACTTGCCTCGATTACGACTTGAAAACTGACATCTTGGCCAGTGGTAAGATGTGTATCCACTTTCATCTTCATCCAATTTTTTGTACCAATGGCGTCGTTGAATAGGCTCCAAATAGTGTGGATGAAGCTGTGCTACGTGTAACCCTGGCAACAGACTGACATGTAGAAGGCAGCTTGCATACAAGTCAAAGGCAACTGCACAGCTTGGTAGAACTTCCCTGTGAACAAGCTTTTGTGTTTCATGTTGCTTGGCTTCTCTGCAGCTTCTCTTGATGCAACTGTCAAGCTTTGGCCCTGCCGGGTAGATGACGCAAAGGATCCTCCTGCAGGGGACGAATCAACGTCCCACTCCTAGCTCACCTCCAGAAAGTATCCTACCTTGTTTCTGCGGGCTTCTGCCAAAGTAGTATTGTCAGCTCTTCGGTGTTGTACTTGGCTACAGACTGAATGTTGTGTTTGACTAATGTTGTGCTTTACTGAGAATAGCGTAGCGGTGCCAGTCCCTAAGTTGAAACTGCCGACAGCGCCCGCATGCCGGATGGCGCTGCATGCCTAAGGTGGTTGAACGCGTGCCACGAGTGCTGCATTCCAGTAACATCTAGACCTATTTTCCGTGGCTTTCTGCGCCGAAGCCTGCGCTCAAGCGCGTAGCACGGCTCGGAAAGTTGCCCTAAGTCTTAATGGTTACTTTGAAGGCCTGGTGCTACTGCCACAGACTGCCTTGATAACGGTTGCAGCAATGGGGGCCGGCGTAATCTCTGTTTTTGAAGACTTTAGAACATTATTACCACCAACTGGGGAGCGAAGGTACTCGAATCTGCAGATTCTGAAGTGCCGGGAATCAAAGCCCTGATGTTCCTGCATCTAGCGTGTCTGCTAGGCAATCATCCGCTCAGGCAGTTGGGGCGGATGCTTTTGTCGCATATTATGGGGAATACTTGGTCTGTCGAGCCTATTTTCCGCAAAGTGCTCAGCCACAATGGCGTATGTCGCAGCCACTGTGGTCGAATCATACGGCAGTGGCGGCTTGCTACCGTGCATGCATTGTATCCACGCGAGGTACCTGTTCTTTACATACTGTGCTCCTACAAGCAAAATGATCCGTGGATCTAGCTGCAAAGACGAAATGTACACTTCAGGGAAGCCTGCCAACTGGAAAGAAGCTTGTGCGAAAAAAAAACAGTCCGCTGAACCAGGTGCACTTTACTGGAACAGCGCATAAGTTTCGATACACACCAAACATAGTACCGCATGCTCGCGCTGGCATTCATCGGTCCTCTAAAATTCTAAAGCTGCCTATTCTAGTACCAACGATCTGAGCGCCATGTCGTAGGAGGCAATGCTGCTCCTCCGGAAGCCGTTACTGTTCCCGTAGACTGCGTTGCTTATGCTGCAGCAAAGGCGAAGAAGCACCGCTTCCGAGTATGGGGACCTCCTCAAGCGACACATGAACTCCAGAAGCTGCGAGAAATGCACCAGAACGTAGCCAAATTTACGGCTGCAGCATATGGTCTAATGGAATCAGCCGAGTGTGAACTGCGAGCGGGAAGATCCAGCAAAAAAAGTCAATGCAACCAAGATGTAGCGCATGTCCATACAAAGAAACACTGCACGCTTCTGGTCTTACTAAGTTGGCTGCGAGAACAGAAGACAGAAGCAAGGCTGCTCCTACAAACGTCGGAAGGGTCATCAGTAAGGGAAGCCAATTTCCGTCCGCATTCGGTGACCAGTCGGTGTTTGTCTGCTTCGAAGGCGTGGTCCTCTGGAGCCAATGGGCCGCGCTCTACTGAACGAGTAGCCAATGCACCACTAACACGGCCGAGGAGACAGCTACGTGGAGTCGCTTCCAGACGCTGCTTACGCGCAGACTCTCCAGGAGAGCCTTTCAAGTTCTCTGTGGGATCGCAAAGTGTCGTACTTTCCACCCCAACACTGCATCGCAATGAATTTGCGGGGGCCCCAGGGACCGGTTGACAAGAGCGGGATTGTTGGGTGTCAATCATTTTCTTCCTTGCAAACGAGCTTGAAAAAATGCGAAAAGCCCTGGAAGCGAGCTGCGGGCTTGGATTTACTGCGGGAGGCTCGACACTGCTATTGCTGCAAGGATTTTGAGGTACAGGAAGTGTTTCATGACCAACTGCACGATCATCAGATGGCCGCATGAGAGAAGAATCGTGCGGAAGTAGGGGGCGGGCGTTCGTCGTATTTACTTCAGTGCTCATGCCTGGCAGTGGAATGGAGTTGGCCCTTGAGTTCTGTTGACTCGCCTTGCAAGATGTCGTCAGTGTGTGTTGTATTTTCTGACGCTTTTGGCGTTCTGGCGAAGACCCGGGTGAAAGCACTGGCAGTGAGGAGCTCGATGACGCGCTCGATGAAGAGCTCGGACTGCTTGAGCGGCTGCTTGTGGCGTAACGCCTGTCGAACTGAACAAAAACCTCACGCAGTCAACACGCCGACATCTTCCCGATGTCTACACACCGAAAACTAAGACGTGAAAGGCGTTTCGTTCATCTCCTCCGCCTGAATGTCGTCGTTAGCCTCAGATGCTCACCAATTGCCTGCGCTGCTTTGCGATGCTCACCAATTGTTTGCGCGTAGACCGGATGGTAGCTGGAGGCTCAGCGTGGCGCTCCAGCTCCTCTAAAAACGTGCTGAGGCGTTCAAAAGCGTCAAGTTTAGGAACTTGTTCAACCCGTTGAGGTGTTTGTAAGGAAACCGTCGAAAGCACAGTGGGCAATGAAGCCCCGTGGAGGCCCCACTGCGCCTCTTTATTGCTGCCTGCTCTACGGACGAGTAACTGTACAGGCAAAAAAGATTCCTTGTCTCCCATCCAGCAAACAAAAGTAGCGTACTCCCGCATGAGCTGAGCCGTAAGTTTCGCTAGGGTCTTCAATCGCGACTTGTAATCCAACACAAATCTCGGAATTACAGAGAGCAGCATATCTCCAGTGTCGTGCATGACTGCTTCTGAAGCCCTTTCTTTGGATGGGCCTTTAACACTAGAATGGCAGCACTGCAACAGCTGGGCAGCCAGAGCTCGAATAGGATCCTTCGGGTCCTGCTCCATTTCTCTCTCGGCCACTGACCGGTTAGACGAAGCATAGACTGACGCACGGTATAACAGAAGTAGCACCTGCACAAGCGACGCCTGCTGCTCCAATAAAGCTCCTATCGGCTTCTGTGCTGCTCTTTTAAGCAGCGTGAGTTCCGTGCTATCAAGGGGCTTGCCTGTAGGCACGTCGCCAACTCGCACTTTGCCCATTAACTGCCGTGTTCAAATACGTTGTTCAATTTCAACGAAACTATGGCTCTTTCTGTGATTTGTAAAACGCCGCAACACCCTGAGGTACTGCCTAAAGGTATGCCCCATCGAATGAGGATTCAACTTGCTCTCAAGTGGGGGTAATGTACCAACCCTAAATTGGTCTTGCTCACCAGTGTGACACACAAGGATTTTTAACAAGGAGCGACTGCGGTCTACAGAACCATCAGCACCAAATCCGTACTGCTTCTTGACCTAAAGATTCAAAAAGGCCTCTTCATCTTGTGTATATCTTGTGGTGCAAAACGGATGGTTACGTGTGCGCGCCACATTTTGCAACTCTTCATATACACGCACTGTAGTACATGCCAAGCACATTGCCAGCCTTACCATATCAAATAGCAAAGGCCACCTAAACATTGGAAAGCTACTCGCAGTCTTTTGTGTCCTGCCTGCATTGTCTACTTTGGGTTCTGTCTTGTTCGCCAGTGTGGGCTTCACGTTCTCTGCTTCACTCTGACCCGCTCCTCCCGTTATAGGCCCGTGACTGGACATAGTCTGACAGACACCGCTGACAAAAGCGGCTGCCTGAGCAACCACCTATAAAGAGGTCAACAACCCGGACAAACGCACAGTTGTAGGTAACCTCGTCATGCCAACTTCTGACGGTATCCCTGCTAGTAAAGGGCATGAAATTAATATGGTAAACCAAGTGACGTGTGATCAGCTTGTGGAAAGAGTAAGTTCATCCAGCCTACCCTGACACATTGAGCAATTTTCAGCGCCCGTCTCCTCAGCATCGCTAAGCAGTCGATCTTCACCTGAACTTGCTGGGGGCAATCAACACAAAACACATCACTTTTGGGTCAACTTGGTGCCTTCAGCATGAGCCCAAAAAGCCTTTTAAACGTTGCTGCATATCGTACCACCATCAATGAAGAGAGGTACGCCTCCATGGTTTTGTTGTTTAAAAAGTGTAGGAGCTCTAGCCGTTGGTGAAGCGCACCGAACTCGAAGACCTATACGGCAAATAAAGAGCCAGAAGACGTGGCAGACACACGTAGCCGCCCATTTTCCTCATGAACAAAGATAAGCCAACGGGCACACTTGAATTAGGGCAAATGCGGACGAAAGATAAGTAGCGGCAGAAGCAGTAGCGGCAAGGACACCGCATACAAAAGCAGCAAACGATTCTTCGTCATCGGGAGGGCCCGAAGCACAATCCCTGCTTTTGGCAAGCGCATCGCGTGCATCAAACCAGAGCTGACGCCTGTCTGTCGCCGCAGTCATGTCGGGCACCACCTCCCTGCAAGCAAGTAGAAAAGCTCAAACCTTTTTATCTGCCGAAAAAAAAGACCCTAAGTTAAAAGCTAGAACAAAATCCCAGCATAAGAACGCAAACAGTAGCGAATCAGTGCGGCGCGAGCACATAAGATATAACAGTACGCTCAGAATGACCAGAACACACACAGGAGAAGTTCTATAGCGCTTGAATTCAGTGTGCACTGCAAGATGTCCGATTGCAGCCGCTTAATGAAGTTGATACGATCAACGCATCCCCTCCTCAGAGCTGATAGGGAGATGCCTGTTCACAAAAACCAGCACGATGCAACAAAGTGATCTGTGGATGGAATGAAAAAGGGGAACCTGAGCCTTGCATCATTCTGTAGTATCGCTTGGAACAAAAGTGAGCGTCAAATATTTTGCCTTGAACTGCTCTTCGGTCTCGATCGAAACAAAAATGAGCGTCACGCGTTTCCTCACTGATGCTCTTTCTGACAGACGGAGGCAGCGTAGCTGCCTTTTTCTTCCCTTTGTTACCCAGACTAAACAGATTAACATCTTTCGCGAGGGTAGCAGCTTGTGAGCCGACAGTCAAACCGAACCCTTTGGGCTGCACGGGAGGCGCCGATGAAGGCGAAGCTTTGGTGCGCCGAAACCACTCAACCAGGCGAGGGTCATCCGTAACAGTGTATCCTGAAGCATCATGCGGCTTCACTTCAAGAACTGCACACCGCCCAAAAAAACAAAAATCACGTCAGCGGTCAACAAAAATCCCTGCTACTTCCGAAATTCTAACCACGGCCCCGCTGCCTCGCCTACTTCCAAAATGGATCGCTCCATGGGTAAACCGTCACTTTAACTATGCAAAAGGGGAAAAGGACACCAACCTGAAAAACCGATTTCCTCCACTACACTTTTGAGGGAATTCCTGGAAGAGTCCCTGTTCAATGAAGGAGCCAGGGCTTGTTGCTGATCCTGTTGTGGAACTGCCAGAGTTGACTGCACAGCTTCTTCTAAACCCAGCAGCCACGAGGCTTCCAGCGGCTCAGCAGGCAAAAGCGTCGCCGGCGTTGTAGCTGTCGATCCCTCAATGCTCTTTTGGCAGCTGCTGCTGCTGCCAATAATGGTATCAGTGCTCTCTTCAGTGCAGCAACTACCGCCATCCACCAGATGGTCAACGCAGCAGCCGCGCAAAGAGCTTACTGACTCATCTCGAAGGCACCAGCCCCACAGACGTAAGTTGGTGTTGGAAGAAGAGGACAAACATTTGTTCATCATTGTTCCCGGGGGCTTCCTACCAGGGCCTCGGCCATTGGGGGGGGCCCCGGGAGCCCTTCCTTTTCTAGCTTTATTCACAACTTCTGATGCATTGTGGACTCCCTTGTTCTCTGTATCAGCAGGAGTTAATCTCTTGGGCTGTGACGTTGACTCTGAGCTCGGAAGCCGCGCTGTAACTGCTGAGCTGCTAGGATCTGCCACAGCAGGAGGGCCCTCGTTGAGTGCTGCAGTCGCAGCTGCAAGTTTCGCAGACTTCGCTTCTTCCTTGAGCCGTTTGTTCTCCTCTCTCAAGCTCGCGACCAGCTCCCTTAACGCAGCTATTTCCGCAGCTGTATCTTTGGTATCACACCCTTCTATCAGTGCCTCCGTTGCTGTCGAAACCAACAGTGGCCCCATATTATGGGTCAAAAGAGGATTAGGATCATCTTTCAATTCATTAGACTGGACGGTCGACTCGGCCAGAGGACCATTTTGCTTCGACGGAACCAGCGGAGCAGAAACGCTTCCGTCAGAAGACGTAGAAGAGGCTAGAGATGTTTCCGATTCACTTCCACATCTACTTTTGCTTCTGTCTGATGACGTGTCATTGCAATTTAAGCCAGGCTCAGCCGGCTGTGTTTTCTTCGTAGACTCTGGCGAGGAAAAGTTCTCAGCTGAGGGCGAAGGTCTTGCGGAATGAATTAACTCATGAGATCGTTGTTCCTGCATCTGCAACGGCTCTGGTACTCCATTGAAATCGCAAACAGTAGCCGTCGTACCGAGCTGTTCTGAAGGGCTATACGTGCAGATATCTGCTGAAGGTAGTGGAGTAGGACAATACCCACATTTCCCTGTGTCCTCTGGAGGCACGCGCCGCATCGACGGCGGGGAAGACATCCACAAGGCCAATAAAGATTCCCCAGATGGAGAAATGCTTGTTGAAGTCCTTGAACTAACTGCAGGCTGTGAAGCTAGTTTGGAACGGATGTACTGGCGTAGTGCGTGCCGTCCTGCTTAACGTATTCCACTACACTGAAATATGCAATGCAGGGCAGCTTGATAAGATGCAGCGAAGACAACAGTATTGGCTTAGGATTTTATAGGGGCAGAAGCGGGCACGTGGTCGATGTGGGAAAAATTCAGCGAGGGGGCCCGATAGATTCCCAAATACCGCGAGACAAATTGCCAAAAAATGCAAGGCAACTGCTTATAATATAAGAAAACCTTAGTTGCAGAGCTCGGCAAAGAGACCGAATAAAGGGCTAATTTCCTTCTACACAGTGGGAGCCAGAGGAGGGGCAGGTGTTACATACAGTTTCCCATAGATAAAGTTTCATCTAATGCAATAATTTTCTGAGCGGAAATGAGAATCAGGAACCCGCCAACATATATCACAAACTGCAAAAATTGTTTTTTATTATACCGGATAGTGTACTTCCCTGGGGCAATGTGACGAACTTCACCCTAGAGACGGCCGCCACAGCCGAAGCTGAAACGCCGACGCCGTGATAAATATTGCCAGCATGCGCAAGCTTTGCTGTCTTGGGGTAGCACACCCTGGCCTGATAATTAATCCATTTGATTTCTCCTCATTGCTATTTAGTAACTTCAGTGTAAGCTGTCGCGAAGCTGTCTCCCAGCTGCCCACACCGCGTTTCGCTGCAAGTCTTTAGAGCTGAAGGGAAAGGCAGCGGCGCCGGTTGATTGAGAGCCTTGTAACGATTCATTAATCTTATTCTATTTATGGAGGCCAAGGAAATGGCGGTGGCTGATACGGGCAGCAAAGACAGTGCCGGCGGGTCGGCGGGGGCCAGTTTTCAAAAACAGTCGACTCCAAAGAATGGAGTCCTGGGCTCCCTATACATGATGGCGTTCAACGTCTTGTGTAGCCTTGCATGGGGCAATGTATTTTATGTTATAGTCAAGCATTGTCTTGACCACAATTTGCCGGGTGCCTTCCACGTCTCACTCTGGCCTGAGTTGGAGTCTCCTCTCTTTTTCGCCCAGAGTTTGGCTGTGATGGAAATTGTGCATTCTCTTATGGGTCAGCTAAGTGTACCAGCTTGAGCAGGACAGGCAAATTGTATGCCCAGGGCGGCAGCTACCAATGCAAAGCCTCTACGTGGCCGGGACCATTACAGTTATGCTCTTACACAACGATGCCTTGCTCTGTGGAACTACGTTTGTTTGCAGGCCTTGTTAGAAGCAGCGTAATGACAACAATCATGCAGGTTTTTTCTCGGTTGCAGTTGGTGTGGCTTCTGTTCCCCACTGTCCCCTCTTCCCGACATCCCGTGGCGTTGCTGACCTGCGTAGCAGCCTGGAGCTGCGCTGAGCTTTTGAGGTAGGAGGAGCTTGGTATCAGTCTCAAGCACACAATAAGAATAATTTTGCGCCTTGACAAGACCTGCGAGGTTGCCTTACAACACAGGGCTTCGATGCTGCAGAGCAGAAGAGTAGACGTCGAAAAGTGTGTCAATGCGGCTGACAGGTTCCCCTTCTTCGCTGTCCAGCAGCTTCTCCAGCTTGTTGATCTTATGCGCAAAGATGCAACGCCCCTTGAGGTGCCTGTTCTGCTAAAGTGGCTACGCTACTCAGGTGTGCAAACGCCGAAGGACCCCTTAGTACCACAAAGCAGTGGGACGTTCTTCCACGTTGAATTCGGCATTCATTCAGTTTCCCCGTTTTCCACTGTGCTTAAGCCTAGATAATACCATTGTTGTTGTTTGCTTGTCTGTAGGTTTCACTGTGCTGTACCCGATTGGCATCACAAGTGAAGTGGTCTGTATGTGGTCCAGCCTCGAAGCCCTCAGAAGCTCTTATGCACTCTCCCACTACCCAACCCCAATGCCAAACAAGTTGAACTTCGAGTTGAGTCTGTACTGGTCATATCTTATCCTACTTTGCCTGTACATCCCTGGCAGCGTCCAGCTGTACAGTCACATGCTGAAACAACGCAGGAAGTACTTGTACGGCACTGGGCAAGAAACTACCGCGAAAAAGGAAAACTGAGAAAAGCTTAAGGCGTCGTAGTCGGCCGACTGTGGGTGGCGGTAGTGGCATCGGCTGAGTTGAACAGATCCAGTGCTGCCTACATTGACCTGCAGTGCCATATGGCGCCAGAGCTGATAATGCTTTCTGGCAATCTGTTTCGAAGTCAACGCCTTTCACAACTTATCGCATGCAGCAAACTGTTGCAGCGCTAAAAAGACAGCGACAGCTAAGAGGCTGCTTCTTGATTGTTGCTGCTTCGGAGTCACGGCTCACACGTGAGTGGTTTGCAGTGCAATCCATCATCTGTGTTGGCCCCCAGGTTGGAGGATGCCGCATTCTAGTGCAGTTAGCGATAAATTGAGGTGCACACTGTTTCTTTTTTCCCGATCTAGACCGAACTAAGAAATCTGAAAAAGGGGCAGGTCTCCGCAAATGGGATAAGGCGCTCAGACAACACCCCGCTGGACACGAAAAGCTGCTATACTAGATGTAGAAGGGCACGAGCGCTGAGACCGCTTGCATTTTAGAAAGTAGATACTGTTTCGCCTGTTTCTGCCTGGTTTCGGCGCAAGCTGCCTGGGATGAGCTTCCGCGCAGCCCCTCGCAGGTACCTGCAGCAGCGAATGCAAACAATATGCTTCCAACGTTATTTGGGGGGACTAGAGGCCCCCTCAAGCGCTAGCTGAATATTTAGGGCACGCTGTGTAGTCTTCGTGTACCTCTCCTTTGCCGCCGCATCTTCCGCTTCTGTGTAGGGTGCGAGAGGCACCAGAATGACTTCCCAACCTTCCGCCTGCAGGATGCGTCGTCTCTTCTCAGCGTAAGCTTTTTGTTCAAATTCCTGGCAACAAAAGCGCAAAGGTGGAAATTCCTCCGCTGTACCCGAGAGTACTTAGAAGTAATCGAAATAGTAGACGGGCCATACCTACTGCCGGCGCTCCTTGTAGGCAAGTGTGGCCACACAAGGTTTCTCACAAGGGTTTCTCAATTTTCTGAGTAGCTCAGTAGCTCAATTTGCTGAGTAGCTCACGTTCCATGGAGGGCAAAGGAGCCACGGTGTATCCCACTCCACTGTGGTGCGGCTTAGAGGGTCCGCAAGCTCCAGCAAGAAAGGGCCGTACATAGAAGGGTGCAGATGGAATTCACCACCCGCGATTCGCACAAGGGGAGCATTCACATGCTGCTGCTCTAGTGGTGGGGCAAAGCACGCCAGCTGCAACAGTCGCAGACACACCGCTAAGGAAGTTAAAGTGAATCTGACGATGTTCGCCATGTGTATCAGGCATGCACCTTTACGGCGATTGCAGCAGAGTTGCCACCCACTTTGACCTGCGTCGCTCGAACCTTTTCCAACCACGATCGCATGCTGGGTGCCAACGCTGCATAAACCTGCAAAACACGTAGACAGTGTTTTTCCTCTCTATGTACTTGTCCCTTCAACTTCGTTGCAATGCCTATGTAGAGGATCCGCTGTTTCGTCTTCTTCATCGTAACTGTTGCCCTGCTGGCCGTACTTCAGGGTAGTCATGGCGAATGCACAACTCCATCAGCTTCAAAGGCAGTAAAATCTTGTTCAGACCGTGGACAGTTAGAGCGTCCGCTGTTGCCTGAAAAAGCACACAGATGCTTCGCGCAAAAGTTTCGGAAGTACATTGAAAGCTTACACAAAATAAGGCGCGCACACTTGTACCTGAGGCCTTCAACATTAAAACCCTTTGCAGTGCCATGCAGATACTGAGCTGACCTCCGTGGGGGCTGCTCTCCCCTCTGCGGCTTCGCTAAATTCTGACACAGACTCTTCATTGTCTGGGGCCTTGGTGACTGCATAATTTGTGGGCGCTTCAGCCCTAATCAAACCCTTTATAAGAGCTACCTGCAATCAAACAGCTTGAAAATTTTGCCGTTCTGCTGTAGCTGCCCCTTTTCTAGTTGCCAAGTGCTCAATGCGAGAGCGAGACGTGGAGCTCACGTACGATGTTTACTGGTGTAAGGATCTTGTAGAAGAGCATCGGCTTGCCCCACAAAACAAGTAGGCTGGGGTCACTAAGCCCTCGAAACCTGAAGTTGAAATAAGCACTCGTCACGGGAGGTCAAAATCTTGCAAAATAAACAAGTATCTTTTGTCTTTTGGCATATTAGAAAGAGCACCAATATGGAGGACAATCTGTCCTTGCTTATTCAGCAAAAGTAGCCGAGCCCCCTCACCGTTTGCCAGCAATAACATTTAGTTTGGCCGCCTGCGCTGGGTTCTCGAGCATTCTCAACTGCACCAGTGCCGGAATTAGCCCACTGATGCTCTGCAGCATCAAAAAGAGTAAATTTTCAGCGCAGAAACATGCATAAAGCGAAGATGCATCCAATGCAGTGCACTGTGGCTTTTAGGACAGTTCAAAATGCCAAGGCAAACAGAGGTGCGAAGATTCCATCTGGCCAAACGCAAGAAACATCGAACAAGGGGCATACTTTTGCCGGGAGAAAAGCGAGATTTTTCACGAGATGCTCTCCAAGTTTTATTGTGAAGTCGCCAGCAACAATATTCGAGGAAAAGCTCGCCTGGAATATGCGACATACATGCCACGGGCGCAGCTTGTCGAGTCTGCTGAGAACTACACACCTCCACTAGCAAAAACGCATGCAATAAAATAAAATAAAATATTTCCGATATAATTAAAAGTGCACTATGGCGTATCGGCTTCTCAAGTTCTACGTTTCTTGTCAGCAACGGATGCTTCAGAAGCTGGGAAACCACAGACTACAGCGAATCGTGACTGCCGTCAAACAAAACTTGTCCGAGTATATATATATATATTATAAACAAATATAAATATAAATATATATAAATATAAATATATATATGTTATATATATATATGTCTAGGTGTGTCTTGAAGGAGTTCACCTTCATCGCAAACGAACTCAACGAATCCCCCGTTTTCTCTGAAGCCTCCCTTAAGGGAGGCGTAGAAGACCCGCGAAAGGCAGTCGCCCTGAAGCTGGTGGACTTGCTTGGCCACTTGCCGCTGCACTTCTTCGAAGGCGGCGCAGCACTCCTCCAGTGCGGGCTGCCACTCAGTGGGGCCTGCTGCTGCTGCTGCTGCTGCTGCTGCTGCTGCTGCTGCTGCAGCTGCGTCGGAAGCTGGATTTCGAGCCGCTGCTGCTGCTCTGTCCAGCAGCTTCTTCGCGTAAGCCAGCCCCTGGCAAGCCCGCGTGATCTCCAGAACATCCATTTCAGAAAGTCTTCTTCGAAAGCTTCTGAAGATCGCCTGCCACTGCGCAGGAGCCGCTGCAGGCCCTGCTGCAGCTGCTGCAGTCCCGCAGCCCTCGCTCGAGGCTGAGCTTTCCAAAAAGCAAGTTCTGCCGAGCAAGTAAAGCAGCTGTTGAGAGCTGAGTTCACTCGGCTCAATTCGCACTAAGTCCGAGTCGCTTATGGCCTTGAAAATGGGCCTTTTTTGCCGCTTTTTCCTGCGTTTTGCTGCAGCAGCAGCGTCTGCAGCAGCTGCTGCTGCTGCCCTCGCGGGGCCTGCAGCGCTGCTGTCTTTGAACTCTCCAGAATGCTCCACAGCTTTCCTGGCTCTCCGCCTCTTCAGGGCTTCTCTCACTGACTCCACACTGTATTCAACAAACAGCCCCGAGCCCGGACTCCCATCAGTCACTGGGTAGGCCCCATCTGCTGCAGCTCCTGCTGCAGCAGCAGCAGCAGCTGCTGCTGCTGCAGTCCCTGCTGCAGCTGTAGACAGAGCAGCGCGGCTCTGCGCACATTTGCCAATTAAACTCACACTTTGCATGCAAGTGTTTGAGTGCAGAGCAGCAGCACGAGGGCCAGCCAGCGAGCGCAGACTGCGAGTTGGGAGAAGTGTTGGGAATTCCTTATTTCGGCGAAGTCCCCATGCAGCTGCAGCACGGGCTCCTTTGCTGCTGCTGCTGCTGCTGCTGCCTGGGCGGGAGCTGCTGCGGGGCTGCTGCTGCTGCCTGGCTGCAGCAACCAGCGGGCAGGCGCCGCGGGAGACAGGGCAAGTGGAGATACTCTTGAACTCTGCACTCTGCAGCTGCAGCAGTCTCTGTGGGGTCTGCTGCAGCAGCAGATCTGCTGCGGTCTGCTGCAGCAGCAGCTCTGCTGCAGCTCGGCAGCAGCACTTCGTCAGCCCCAGCCACCGCGAGTGGAGCTGCATGTTTGCATTTGGCCGCGAGATCCAGAAAGGGTCTTCACACAGTTTTCAACTCCGCGGGAAACAGCGAAGACCCTTTCCTTGTCTGCACCAGCCAGTGTTGATTTGAAGATTTGATTAACATGAAATGAATAAAACTGCAAACAAGATGTGTAGCTGAGGGAACAAGGGAAGCTTTCACGGCATCTCCGACGGCTTCTGCTGACGCAGCCGGGGGGCCCCTAGGGGGCCCCAATGCTCCCGTGTCAGATCTTGCCACGGACAGAAGACTGAGGGCGTTTGCGAAAGCTAATCTCCAGAACTGTCCAAAATGCGGCTGTTTTGAATGGCGTATAAAGTTATTCCTTCAGAGTCCCGAAAAATTTGTGCAGCTTGGGACTTCTGTGTTCGAGCGCCAAATGATCCTGTCGAGGCTTCCAGCGTGCAAGTCTGGGTCTCGGATGCCGGAATCCCGCTAGCACGAAAAAAAACGTGAAAAAAGTACATATGATGCAAATGATACTGTATATGTTTATCGTTGGCTGAGTGGACTGCCGCAGTCTTAGACTTGCAGACGCTCAATAAAATCGACCGAACCCAATGAATGTTCGAACAAATGGCCTTGAAGCCCCATCGACCCTAATATTTTTGTTTGTCCTAAATACTCGTCGCATATTATTGAGTAGATCAGCGGAAACTAGAAGAGCGCATTTTGAAGTGCACGGAAGCCGCCGACGGTGAGTGTATCGACAGTTGAATCCCACAGCCGTGCGAGAGAACTTCTATCTAGCCAGCGTTTTAGAGGCATGGCTGGTCTTTGGTGAATATGTTGAGACCAACAACATTAATTTCAGTGCAGCTTTTAACCTGGTTTTCCTTCCAGTGTTTGGCTGATGGGGGACTCATTACAAGACCGCAGTCTGCTGAGTTTCCCAGCACGGCGGTGCTCGAACAAGAGATGGAATCACTAGTATGCACAAAACTGGCTCAGTTTCAAGATAACTATCATCGCATAATATTATTTCAGAACTCATCGTCTCCATTTCTGAAAAGTTTCGAGCGGACTGTCCACAAACTGCCACCGGCGGAGCAGCAGGTTGGCTGGCAGCGCAGTGATCGTCGCAGTCCACGAATGCATTTCACTCGTGACAGCAAATAGAGGCTTCGATATTGGAAAAAGCAGAAGAGCAGGTGAAATGGAATGCCAGAAGTGCTCGTATTTGCACTATTGCATTCCTTCGGGTCGGCGTGGCAGATGGCGGAAGAAGCGAAAGAAGCCGAAGGCTGCGTGACAGACTTCTCGTGCGTTTCGAAGGCCCACGCGTCTCATCTTGAATTTGTTTCTGAGTCTTTTAATTCTGTTTTGAACTTCTTTAAAGGGCCCCTTGCCCGCGTTCTTGGGTGCCGCGATCTGACAGGGAAACATCCAGCCAGTACTGCGACGCGCCCAAGTAAGCCTTCCAATATAACTGACTCATTTGTTGCATGCAGCCTCTTGCGGTGGCTTCAGAGACTACAAAGGCATGCCATTTCCTGCCATTCTTGTTAAGGACTGGCAAGTTATGGCAGTGCTTGCAGGGTACTGCGAAACGTCGAAGTCTTTTGAATTTTACCCGGAAAGCGCGTAAGGCCTCCTTTGCCGCTCTTTGGCTCGCGAGTTGAGTGCAGAACTTTCGAAGAAAGGCCGACTGGGCAAAAGACTGCCAAGTAGGCCCTGCAGCAGCAGCAGCAGCAGCAGCAGCAGCAGCAGCAGCAGCAGCAAACAGCACCGGCTGAACTCTGCAGGCACAGTGGCCCTGCAAGGGCGATGAGATCCACTCTTGCCCCTCGGGCTCTCGCGACTACTCCTGGCCTTGCCCCCAGGGCTTTGGACTGCGGCCAGACGGGGAGACTTGCGAGGCTGGTGAGGAGTGAAGGCCCCTCCTTTAGTCTGCGCAAAACTCAACAAATGGCGGCTGCAGCTCTCGGAAACTATTCTGGAATTTGTCCTTTAGTGGCGAACTTCAGCGGCTTCAGCGAGGCCGCGAAGCGCTCTTGGAGTGTACGTACACCGCGCAAGTGCAGTCACTTCTCCGAACACTTCGGAGCCGCCATTAATAAAAATCTGCACAATATCTGCTGGTGGAAATCTAGGATGCATGCGGCGCGTACTGGCCGTGCACGCAAGACTGCGTGGTGAGAAGAGACAGAAGGAAATGGAAAGTTCAGATTTTCATGTTGCATGCATGCAACTCCAATGGGGCTGATAGGCTGGCTATGAGGCCATTTGCCCCGAAGGCTGGTGAGCTTTCCACAGCAGCAGCAGCAGCAGCAGTTTTGCTGCAGCAGCTGAACTGCAGGGCCCACGAGGGGGCGTTCTGGTGTGCTGCTCCTGCCGCGTACACTGCGAGGGGCCCCTGTGAAGGCCGCTGGAACTTCAAAGTATTTGGACTTCTTGCATGCAGCAGTTTCGCTGGTTTGTCTTCAACTCTTTTCGCAGTACTTCACCAAAGACATGAAACGCTCCTTCGAACACTCCTGCCAAGCCCACTTCCCCTGCGAGAACACCTGCGAAAAGGAATACGCAGATCCCTGTCCCAAGGGCAAGCATGCAGAGTCTGGCTTTTAGTGCTGAGACAAATATGAGGCTCTGCAGGCTGGGCCAAAAAGGATAACACATGCCACGCCCCTGAAGGCCAGGCCCCCTGCGGGGTAAACAGAGTGTCTTTTGCCCTCGCGACACTCTCCGAGAAGAAAAGCTTCGAGAGGTGATTTCACTTCACATTCTTCCAAGTGAAACTGTTTTCATAAAGGCCGCGGGGACAGTGCATGCAACGTCAGCTGGCCCTGCAAAGGTACTTTCTGTGCAGCAGCGGCGCTGTGCACTTTCATGTTGCAGCTTCCTCCAGCGACCGACACTTGCGAAATAAACTGGAGCTTTCCTTGTCCCGTGGGTAAGCTAGGCAGCACTTCTTCAATTAATTGCTTTTCTTCATCCCGGAAACAGGCTGGAACGTCCTGCCTCCGATTGGCAAGAGTCTGTCGATGATGACATCAGAATCTGAACAGGGGTCAAACTGGCTCGTAAGGCTTGCTGCGATCCCCTTAAATTAGCAAGCCAGCTTAATTTATTTAAAAATAATATCTTATAGGAGGCAGCATGCGAGCCTCCTGGCTCCACGACTGCGGCTTGTGAAAAAAGAGAAGCGTTTCAGTCGGAAGCCGAAAAGCGGAAATGGGCGTCCATGTGCGAACTGACATGGTGCAGTGTTCTTCTTCTCTGTTTTATTTTGCAAAGTGTCTAAGGAAATAATAAATCTATCCTTAGGCCCTGCGTTGAAACAGAGAAGGAAAAGTAAGTGCAGCCCTGCCACGATCTCGCAACGGTTGACCAACAGTTGCAGGGCGTACACTGCAATATCTGCCAAACGAATGCCATGTAAGCTTCAACTTAAGTGTTTGCATGCACGCGATTCTCATTTTGCTTCTCCAGGGGCTGTTTTTGGACCACGGTAAGCTAACGGGCTACTCCTGGGACTTTGTGGCTTTCATCATACAACTTGAAGGCCCCCCACGCCCGTGACAGATCGCAGGCAAGTTCACTGTGAATACTCAAACTCTTGCGCGTGTGCATGCGGCGTTCTTCAGAGAACTTGGAAAGCACGGACCCGTGCACCACGGTATTGCAACTTTGCGTAAAAAACCCAACTTGCCACTACTTGCTGCGCCTCAGACACCGGGGAGGTCTGGCCCCGCCACCCCGGAAAAATTCTGCCCTTTTCGCGCATTGTTGGAGTTGAACACAAGAGAGTGGCCCCCGCCGCCCCTTCTGTTGTTCAACCCCTCACTACTGTGGTTTCCGAAAGAAAGGTAAGCCTCATGCTGCTTGCTTTCAGACTCACCTCCTAGGCTGTCGCCACTATTGCCACCAGGGCGAGATGAGACCACCTGAAAAGGAATATGCCGGTATTCACTTTTTTTATTTTCAAGGAGGAGGTGATAAACAGTCTAATCACTTTGTTGTTTAGCTCATAGAGGCTACTACGGCGGCCTCGCAGTTGGCTTCCACTTGCTGGGTAAGTCAACTGTGCTCAAGATCAAAAGCCAAAAGTGCAGCTCTGTTGCCGCACCAGGATCTTCGACTTAGAGCGTGGAGTAGATGCATGCATTACTTTTTTTCTGCACATAAAACACCACAAAGCGTGGCTCATCACAAATGCTGTGGCGAAACTACAAAGGAAGAAGCAGCTCAATCCATGCTCGCTGACACTACTGATTTCACAAGCATACTTTCGTTTTGCACAACCCACAGTTGATTTTCTGTCGCGAACTCGTAAAAAACTGAAAGGTCCTTGTTGCTCTTTTGCTTCAGTTGTCGCTTGTCTTGTGGCTGATGTTTTTGGCTTTCATTGTCCTGAACTAAGAAGTTCATAACGCGAGCACTGGCTCTTCCCGAATTCCCAAGGGTGTCCGGACATTCCCACGCATTGCTAGACAGCTATGACCCTTCCACTGCAGTCCAGCATTCCTTTCAAAGCCATACTTAGGCCTTAAGACCTTAACGTGACTTTGAAATGAACACTGGACTGCCTCTGGTGCTGCCTAGCAGTAAGCCGGAGAATTGCTTGTCCAGAGGGGCAGAAATCAGGGAAGCTGTACTGCCTTGCTAGCCGGAGGTGACCCGAGCTACAGCAGCTTCCTGTGACTCTACGTTTCAGCCTGCCAGCCCGGCTCTGCCGAAGCTAAGGAATGTCCAACTCTTAGCTACTGGCAGGAATTGGTGCACTGCAGAGCTCAAGACACTCCTTAAAAAGAGATAGAAGTAACAATGGTGCTGCCCTAAAAAGGCTGGAGCGCTCTTTAGTGAACCCTAAAGCGAGGCACTTTTCATTACGTGAAATCGCCCTTCAGCATGGTTGTGGCTTCGTTGCTGTGTGGTTCGATTTTGAGACATTTTGCGATGTTCACTTCCCAATAAACTCCACGGACTCGAAGAACAACCTACATCCAAGGCAACTGGCTTCTGTCCAGTCTTGCCAAGCATCAACCACAATAGTGGCGTTCTATTGCAACACATAAGCTCGGGAACAGTTGCAACTACAAGGGTCATGCGTCAAGGCGCGAGCCAAACAGACGCAAAGAGATCGAGAGCGGCTTTTTAGTGCGGGATGACTCCTTTGCTTCTCCCGTGCTAACGCCTTATCGCTTCGCACTGTTCCCAACTTGTTGTTCGCAGCTTTATACATCAAGCAGTCCGCTCCAAACATGTAAAACGCCTAAGGAAAACAGCGGCAAGCTGGCTGTTTCACTTTCCTATTATTTCTATGCCTCCCGTCGTTGTTAGACGCGTCGACGACACTTATGAAATCGCCATGCACAAGGAGATATCTAAAAGGCAAAGTGAACCCCTTAAGAACTTCAGTGTCTACTCTGCTACAGGGTCAGCGACACTCGAGACATAAGTCCCAGTCATACTGAACTGGAACTCGTGAAAGTCTTGTGCTTCGAAGAAATGGACTTTGCAGTGGCTGATGGAGTCATGTTTGTCACTATGCAAGAGCGAGTCTTGTTTCTTTGCATGCACATGTTAAATGCATGAAGTCCGATGTAGCGACTGCTACTTGGAATGAATGACCTCTGGAAAAGAGCAGACCGTAACGCCCACAAAAATGAATCGGCGCAGGCTGATAAATGGGCGCTGGATTATAAGCATAAGGTGTTAAATCGAAAAAGATGAAAAGCATTAAAATGTCACGCCCCTCTTGATGAGCTCCACGCTGTACCCATCCGGATCCAACGCGAATGCAATGCCCCTCATCTTTCCATCCTATTGACACATCAGGCAAAGCAAGTCGAAGAGAACGCATATAAAGTGGAATCTCTACTGCCAAATCTGCCCCGCATCGGCCGACTGCAAGTGCGAGTCACATGCCCACTCCAATAAAGCTAGCAAAACTCCCTTGCCGGGCCAAGTTTTTCGTGCTAGTGCTGCAGATGTTCTTTCCCTCTTGCTTCAATTAACTTTCCGGGTGACAAGCTCTTACTTGAGGCCTCTTCCTAAACTTCACTCCAGCAGCCTCAAGCTCCGAGCAGGCTTCTTCTAAGTTGTCGCAAAGCATTCCAATGTGGCCATAGCCCTGAGGAGGGTCGTTGCCGTTGCTGTACTTGAAGTTCGGGTCCGTCTCTGTTCCGTGGTTGTGCGTCAACTCCAAGAAAGGAAACCACTGCTTCTTGATGAATTCATCAGCCTCTGGTCCCTGTTCAAATGCCAGAAATGCACCAGAAAAACAAACGTGGATACACAGGAAAATCCCCAATCTGGCCTGTTCCCTTGCACATTGTGCAGGTTCCACAACTTGTTTGATAACTTGTTTGTAAGGCCATTTGGTTCGTGCGTGTTCCGCGCTAACTAACTAGTAAGGCTTCGATAGGCCACTTCACCTCAATATTTTCTGGGGGCGAAACGCCTGGCTCTAGATATGCAAGGAAATAAACGGTGAAGTCGCCTTTGTCTTTCTTTGCAATGAGCTTCATGCCCAGAAGATCACGATAGAAAGCCAGGGACTGTTTCGGGTCCTTGACTCGAATCATTGTTTGTGACAAGTTGAACTTCTCAGGAATGTGAGCTTCGGGATGCCGGTTGCAAAGCTCTATCCAGTACCCGTTGGGATCCTTGGCGAAAGCAATTGTCTTCATTCGGCCTTCATGAGGCCTTTTTTGAAAGCTCACGCTGAGCAAAATCACAGAAAAAGCTGCGCAGCACTAAATCAAGCAAAAATAAGGGAACACTGACACACAGGTGAAGACAGATGGGGGCAGGTGCGGGTGGCAAGACATTTTCTCTCTCTGCAATTACCCGTCTTCTTCCAATTGCTGCGACACCGCGACCACATCCGGGCAGTTGAAAGCGATGTGCCCGAACCCGCGATGGGGCTCTTCGTTTCCGTTGTTCACTTTGAAGTTGGGGTCTTTCTCAGTGCCGTGATTGTGCGTGAGCTCTAAACAGACCCCCTGAGGCGAAAAAACACGCAAAAAACAGCAATCTTCACACTTAGAAGAGTATATTTGACTCAAATTAATTGCGCACATCTCACCAAAACACAGCAATCTTCAAACTTAGAAGAGTATGTTTGACTCAAATTAATTGCGCACATCTCACCAAAAAACAGCAATCTTCAAACTTAGAAGAATATGTTTGACTCAAATCACTTGAGCACATCTCACCTTCATGCTCCACAGATACTTCTCCGCCTCGGGGGTGCCAGGGGTCGGCAACACTGCGCCATCGCGAGGGCGCTCGAGGAAGTAGAGGGAGAAACCTGCCTCATCAAACGTATACGAATGGATCTGAACAAAAAGAGGAAGAACCAACGACAAAAATTCAGATATTAATGGCAGATCAACTCATGCGGAGCATCTAAAGGCCACTGGCCTTGCACTGCAACTCATTTCACGTAGTAGCTGTCCTTCAAATGGGCTTTGGCACGGCGAGTTCGGTGCCTCTACCTTCCAAGCTTGAAACTAACGAACTATTCCGTGGAGTTGAAGCCTCTTATTATCTTTGTTGCATTTAAATTGAAGACAAGGGTTCGCGGGAGTGTGCTGGTGTGCTGCTGCTGATGGGCGCACCAGCTTCATGCCAAAGTGGCGCTCATAAAATGGCACAGTGACTTTTGGGTCTTTGATCCGCAGCATCGTTTGCTGCCAGGAGAAATTGTGCTTCTCCCCGATGGTGACGTTGCCGGCTGGAGGTGCCATTTTCGCGGCGCTTTCCTGGGTTGCAAATGTAGTAGAAGAGACAAAAAGATAAAAATACTCGTTCTTAACTCAGTGGCGAGTAAAAAACGGAAGTAACCCAGAAGTTGACGTGCGGCCCCCGCTTGGTAAGCGGCACACAGTCGCCTCGCGTCCCAAGACAGCAGTGAATTAAGACTACAGAATTATAAAAAAGAAAGCTTGATGCAGCTTGCGAGTCCTCAGCTCCAAAAATGCAGGAGCGCTTTGCGCTAAAGAGGGCCACAAGCATAGAGATCTGATACACGTCTGCTGCTACTGGGAGCCAGTAGCGTCGTGGGGCCCCACCGTGGAGTCTGTAAACTAAATAAAGCTCGTGATTTTCTCCTAGCGCGTAGAAAATGAAAATATTTAATGAATTTACTTAACTTTTGAGGGGCTAAGGGTCTGCTTAACAGGACACAAGACCGCCTGCGTCGTTCTCTGCGCGCTGTGCTGCAGTTGCCTTGAAAGCCTTGTCCGTCGCCCACGAAAATAGCGACTTTACGGCACAGATCCCTTTGTTTCATTTAGACAGACTCACTTAATATTCAAATTTTCAGCTTGGTGAGCTGCGCTTGAAGGGGTTGCATACACTGGGAACGCAGCTGCGCTTTGCGGGACAGTGCAGCCGACTGAGAGCGTTTCCCAAGGACAGCTGCGTCGTATGAGTTGAAATCATTCCTTTTCTGACAGTTTTCAAACTTCTAGCTAGCATTTTCCGTGGTGGCTTCACCAGCCGATGGATCTTGCCAATGGAGCTCAGCAAAGCGACGTGGCTACTTACCGAGGAAAGAAGCAACAGAAAGACTCAAGACAGATGGCGGCCGCAAAGCGCCTGGCCTCCCTTCACGCGAATCCGCTAGGATTAAAGGCTGCTTTTTGCCTCGGTGCATTACTATGGTGAGCAGCAAACTTCTGCATTTCCCAACAACTGATGCCACGCGTACAAACGAATTGAGACCACATCACTCAGTGGCCTGTAGCTTTTGACTGTCTCCGAATTGTTGTTCATGGTTTTGCGTCTGCGCATATTTAGGGCTTTCATTACTCTTTTTCTATTTCGGCGATATCGGCTGACCTTCGACATGGATGAAGCAGAGCAGCCGCTGACGCTCTTTTCTGAAGTCCGTTTTGCCATCACTTTTCCGGGATTTCTGCATGTTGCAAGCACATAGTCCATTCAAATAGTTCCCAGAACGCTCAGAGAATAGATTTTCCCGACTTCTGCATATTTTCCAACTGCTTTCCTCCTTCAGAATGCACTGTATTATTCCTTCTACCTGGACGTTGTGCGCGCGCCTTCCTGGTTCAAGGCGCTGGAGTCGCTGCTGTAAGATACGCACCGTTTTCCACGCACTTTTAATTTCTGTATTGAATTATGCAATTTGTCTCCACCATTTTCGACCTTTTGTTTCGCTTTCCATTTGTGATAATCTTTTTGCAGGCACGACAACCGGTCTGAACATCCCGACGTCATAAATGCACTCGAGCGCTTCAACATCTACCCAGGTGAACAGCGACTTTTTGCGAAGTGCCTGATCACAATTCAGTTAGACTCTTCACGAAACGCCTTATCAAAGTCCTCTTGGATGGAACTTTATAAACTAACCCTCTCGTCACTAAGTTATATTTGTTGAGGTCACCGCTTCACGGCTGCACCCAGTTTTGTTCTTAGTCACTTTACTGGATGTTTATATTCAGAACTGGTGCTCGGCTTCGCCTACCGCGGCCTCCGCTGGCTCTTGGGGTCCGCATTGCCGCTGTTTGTGAGAACGCCTTTCAACTTTTACGCCGCATGCAGTGCGTTGGGGCCCTTAAACCAGTCCAACTCGAGCCAGTTTATATAGTTTTCTCTTATTTATCTGTTAAATGAAAGCATTTTATGGTGCAAACTTGTGTTTGCGTCCGGTGATGCTTGCAAAAGTGCTTTTACTTCGTTCTTTTTCTTGTCCGTTCGATTCAGGTTTCTGCTTCCAAGGGTTCGGCGTGGCTTGCTTCTGCGTGTTGGCTGCCTATTTGGGTGGGCTGTGGGAGAGAATGCGAAACAACTTAGTTGTTTTTTTCTGACATGCTATTAGTCCTAAGATCATTTTGATTTGCTTCTGAGTCCCGCATTCGCAGGGTCTAGTGTGCTGTGCGGCATTTGCTGCTTCGGTTTCTTTCTGGGCAATTTCTACCATCGGCTCATTCTGAGAACTGACGGTACTGCTCTGCCTGCTTCGCGCTGCTGCAGCAACTGGACTGTATAGTTACAGAACACGGGCACAGCTACTAGCTGCTAAATAATGCATGCCAAATGATTTTATTTACTCTTTGGCTGTTGGTTTGGTGTTTACATGCAGCATTGACACTGAGGGAACATTGGGGACTTCCCTTTCTCTGGCTTAATGTCATCGCCATTTACGTAATGTTGCAGCGGCACATGCGTTTCCGTGATCAATCGAAAGTAGGCCGTAGTTAGCAGGTCGCATGCTTGACACAAAATGCACTACAAAGTCTCAAGAATTAGAACTTTGGAAGCCTCGGTGCAGCCCTGCCAAGCCCGCAGCTCTCTTGCATTCTATTTTAGCTTTAACTGTCTTCTTCCATTGCTCATTCCTGCTTGTGAGCCAGTTTGACTTCTTTGTGGGTGCCCGCAGATATTTGGTCCTTTGATTACTGCTATTTTGACTGCGACTGGCTTGTTGTTCTCCTGGCAGTTTGGCGTTTTTATTTTGACGACTCAGGTCAGCTTCTTTGGGCAATAAAAGTCCACTGCTGTTTAAAGTCCTTGCTTTGAGAGAGCTCCTAGCACCATCCAAATTTGCAAAAAATTCGAAGATGGTTCTTTTGCTTGCAGATTTCGGCCCTATTCGGCATGTGCCTTCTTGGCTATCCTGTTTCAATCGTGATAAGACGCATAGCAGCGTTTTACATGGTCGCTCTTGCCTTTGTCTTCGCTTTCATGTTCGCTTCAAAATACCTCGTGAGCTCACATTTGCCAGACAGGAATGGGAAATGTTAAGAAGGCATCAAGATCAATGCTGCACAACTCGAATGGGAGCCCCCAAAGTCTATTTCCTGTGTTGGATGAGAGCAATGGAGACGTAGGACTGTGGCGCCTGCTGCTTTCTCGTCATTGCATTGCGCGCAGGCGTTTTCGTTTTTCCCTCACGTCACACTTTCGGTCTTCGTGAGCCTTTGGCTGTTTCCGCGGCATACGGCAAATCCCAGGCCATTCGTAGGGTGGTTGTTCGCTGTGGACTTTTGGAGAGGCGTTGTGGCTGTGGGACTATGTTGTTTGATCCGCTGCGCACTGTTGCCGTGAGCTTATTGACACGAGGTCTCCAAGTGAAAAGGAAGGCTCAGCTGAGAACCCTGAGCTACTTCGCCAAGAATTCATAGCGAAATACTCCATCCAGACAACTAAACCTGTTAGAGAAGACCCATTTCGGCTGACGGTCGCCCTGTCGACTCGAACTTGTGCCTTGTGTCAGCGCTGTGCCTTCTCATGCCACCAGTTGCTATGTCCTTGCGCACTCAGCTTCGAAAAGGACGACGCGCACGTTTTCAGCCTTTTGATGTACCACCTGGGCTTTTCCAAAGATACGTTTGACAGCAGCATTTACATCCTGGGGCACACAGTAAGCAGTTTTGCCCGCACACTGTTTGCTTGCTTGCTTTTGAGGACAGTGACTGTCAGCAGAGTCCCAATGCAGGCACAAGTAGTTGAATAGTGCGCTAAATGCTCTTGTCACTTTGTGTTTAGGAATTTCTGCCGCTAAATGCGACGCTGCTGCAACATATTAGGTCCTCTGGCGTGCTGGTTGTGGCGGCCCTCATGGCTGTGGCCGCGTTCCTCTTTCTTTCCAGGGAAATATTTCTGGTGCACGTTTTGTCGTGCAAAAACTGGGATTTGTTTATGTTATTTGACGAAGGACTGGTCCCTTCTCCAGACGTAAAGGAAAATCGCAAAAATGCCGTCAGCCCGTAAGCCTTACTCGGCGCCACAAAAAAACTAAGACACCACCTTGGAAGCGGATGAATACTAACTACAAATTTTCGTACGAATTGATGTTACTTTTGGCACAGAGAGGAAGAGAGTAGACAAGACGCAATTTCCAGGGAACGCCAGAAGCTGATGGCGATGATTGGGGGAGATGTGAGGATGAGGAAGCCCGTAAGTGCACTGAGGGAAGACGGAGTGGTTCCTTAACGTATCTTGTCTAATATCGAACTGGTTTGTGGCTTTTATGTCTACAATTCAGAGCTTAAGGGTGCAACGTTTCAAAAGCTTTGTTTCTGAACAGGCCAAGCCAGTGGAGGCTGACAAGCCGGCTGAACCCGAAAGACCAACCACGCGTGGATCAGCATCTGATGAACAACTGATCGGCGCCCTCTCTCCCGGATTATGCTACCTGTTTCTTCAAGTATAATCAAGCGCATCTACAGAAACAGTATGAGCCTTAATTTCGTTTATGTTTCGAGAGTGTCTGCCTCACGCGCCTGTTTTGTTTTGCCATTGTGTTCGTTTTCCCTGAAGGCTTTCTTCTTTACAGCATTGATGCTGCTTATAGCAAGATTGCGCATCTTGGCACTGCCACTTCTCTGCGTCTTCGCCTCCCTGTGTGCTTCAAAGGCGTTTTGGGGAAATTGTGGCCGACGACTGCTATCAGCGCTGGGGTGTGTGAGAACGATTATGCATGCGTTTTGCATTTCTTGAAGCGCTGCAGCTAGCGCAGCACTTCAGCTTTACTGAGTTCTGGGGGCAGCTTAGCGCGAAATACACGGGTGTGGCTGTGCACTTTTGCAAATATAGAGGAAAGGGATATGCGTTTGTTTCTGACAGGCTGTATGCGGCGCTGAGTAGAGCCGTTGGAAAACGTGTGCAGAGGCTGCTAAAATTTGCAGCACTCTGCATTTTAATTTGTCTTTCTGTCCTGCCATACTACATAAAATTGCCTCTGAATGAGATGCTTACTCCCTTTCCCGCCCTGGAGAACGCCAACAGCCCCAGCAAGCAGCGCCTCTTCGCTTGGCTGTAAGACCGCATCTTTTTGCACCGAAGTAGGAATGTCCTTATTTTTTTCGCAGTTTCAAAATGCATCTAACTGCCATGCATGCATCATGATTTAATCTGCACCCCTTGGCCTGCAGGGAAAAGAATGTGCCACCTGAGTCGGGGATCTTGGCCGACATGACAACATCGGCGTCTCTTCGCGCCGCCATCCCTTTTCTCCGCACTGTCATTCACCCGCAGTATGAAAACGTTGGAATACGGCGTCGAGTAAGGCTGTTTGAACCTCGGTTTGTTTTTTCTTTAAATCTTCAAGAGTTTCGTCGAGCTTAGTCATTTCCATAAAATGGATAGACAATTGATCTTCACTTTGGTCGTTCTTGTGGAGCTTCGCAGTGCATGACACTTCGGTTTTCCTCTAGAGTTTTGTCGAGCGTAGGCACGTTTAAAAGTAGGAGGACAGCTAATCTTCATTTTCGTCCTTTGTGGAGCTTCGCAATGCTTGGAAGTGGTGTTTTGAGCCTCGTTTTGTTTCTTCTTTAGATCTTCTAGAGTTCCATCGAGTTTGTGCCTTGTCATAAACTGGGTGGAGAGTTGATCTTCATTTGTCTTCCGTAAATCTTCACAATGCACCGAACTGATGCGCCGCAAGGCAACATTTGCTTCCATTTCTGCAGGTGCAGTTTGCCTATGGGTCGGCTGCATGCCCACCGATGGCTCTTTACAATCAGCTACTGCGAGATCTCTACAGAACGGACTACATTGTTCAAAGCAGCTTCAGATGCGCAGGTACTGACAGCGAAGTCAAAGTGAAGTCCAGTGACTCAAACCACAGTGGCAGTGACCCTAGCATAGTTGCAGTTGACGCCTCGCTGCGTTTAGATGTTTCGCGGGCCGAACGACACTCACACTGGAATAATGAAACTCTTGAAAACAAATTTTAATACTGCTTTACCTTTAGATCGGATTTATTCCGCGGAACTGTGCCGTGCAGATGTTTGGACCACCAGAGATGGCCCTTTGTGAGCATTTATCAACAGCGATGTTCCTTCCGAGCACCCATCGCTCGAATAACATAATTAATTAAATAAATAATGGAAACTGAGTATCCTTTCTGCTTGTGCACTTCACAGCGCCTCCTAACGCCCCAACTTCTGTCTTCGATGTGGCCAACAAAATAGACGAGTTTGATTTCAAGTGCCCAGCTGGTGTTTCAGTTGAGCAACGCTTTTGCTTTCGCACTTTATTTGACAATAATCCTTTCTTTAAGCTCGTCTACGCCAATGAGGTCTTCTCCGTTCTTAAAAGGCTTGATGTGCTCTCTCTAGACCACCAGGCTGCAGCCATTGAGGGCAGAACAAAAGAATATAAATCATTTGACTGGAAAAATAAGGTAAGAAGGGAGTAACTTAGGGGATTCTGAATAAGTCCTAAAAGGGCGGGAAACCCCGCTGTGCAGCTGAGTATTGCTGTAATTACTTATCCATCTGCTGCCCTTGCTGCAGCAGCTGGAGCTACAACTGCAGCTTCTCTTTCCTGCGTGGCTAATGTAAACATTAGCAAGGGCAAAAGCTGATTTGAAAATGGCCTGCAGTTGGTTCTGCTGCTGCGTGTTGCATCCGTTCCTCCAGATAATGGAGAAATCGAGCTGGCAGCCCTTCATAGAACGTTGCAAATTGTAGGTGCTGCGCTCTCCTCTGCAGCGGTATTCCTTTCGCTTTCGGGGGCGACTATTTTGCGTTTTGAGCTTCAATAAAGGAATTAAAAGCGAAGGTTCACTGTGTAGCTTTGTAGGCCTGTGATTGCACTCAGAACGGATCCTCACTGTGGAGCTAACATTGCTGGTCTAGGTCTGCGCATGTTGGAGCGCCACGGCCTTCAAGAAGTATCTTAGTCTGCATTTAATTGCCATCAATTTGTTTCTCGAATAGATAAATCAGCAGTTGTACTTCGCTTGCCGCTCTGTAGTCACCAGCCAAAACCAGCTGCGTCGGCTTTGCTGCTGTTGCTGCTGCCGCCGCGCCAGGTGGGAACACTTCTTCATTCTATGGCTGTGGAGAACTTCAGCGACACCGAGACAATGGAGCAGTACGCCCTATACCTCGACTTCAACTTGCGCAAGCCTCAGGCAGCACTGAAGTACTACCAAGTGAGCCTCCAGCCCTGTTTCTTTTTTCACACAGGTGGATCTCATGGGGGAAGTTACTACTAGCTGCATGACTGCAGCTGGATAAGCGCCTTTAGTAAATAATATTTTAAAGGAACTTTGGATGCCTGGTTGGTTATGACTGCAGAAGGCAGCGGCGGTGAGCCCGCCGAACTTTGGCCGGGCAGTTCAGTACGCGCTCTACGTGCAGGAAAGCGTGAAAGACAGAGAGAAATTCATTGATGCAGCTGACTATGTCGCCAAGTAAGCCTTAATTTTGGATTTATTCTCGCTAGAAGCGAGGCTATTTTCGAAAAGTGCAGCATTTTGTGAATTCAGGCTGCGGGGGTGGTGCGGCTCAGGGCAGCGGAACTACTCAGTGATCCCAGACTCAATCTTTTAGAGGAGGTGGATAACATCTGCAGAGGCGCTGTGCTGCTGCAGCTGCTGGCGGGAGAGAAACGTACGGCAGAAGCAGCAGCAGCAGCAGCAGCAGCAGCAGCAGCAGCGCGAAAGCGATCACAAGGCTGTTGTGGTTTTTTCTCTAGCGGCGTCCAGCCACAGTGTTCCTCTCAGTGCTGCTGATAATAAAGGAATTATTGCTGCAGTGCTGCTGCTAGTAAAGAGTTGTTGCTGCAGTGCTGCTGCTAGTAAAGAGTTGTTGCTGCAGTGCTGCTGATAATAAGGTGATGCTGCTGACACTGCGCGCGTTGCTGCTGCTGGTTCTCCGGCGCAGGAGATGATATTGCGAGCGAAAAAAGAGAAGAATATGCAGAGGCTGCTCACGAGTTGTGGCAGAAGGCACGGGTAAGGAATTCAAGGAAACGCAAATCACTCTTCGTTGTGATTCCACATGACCATACATATAACTACATGCCAAGCCTGTTTCCCACTTTATTCATTTAGTTCAGAAACTTCAGCTCATCTGGCGCTAAGTAGCAGAACACTGAACAAACTCGGAGACCATGTTTGGTAGAACAGATCTTCTTCGTAGATGTGCGAGTGCCTGTCCATTTGCTTTTATGCTCTGAGTCTGTAATGTGCAGCTGCATGTGCATGCATGCGTCTTGTTGTGCATTTGCACTTTTCTACTTTAAATCCGAACGCATGCGAGTTGTGCAGAAGCAGCTGAGTTGCGTTTTGTTGTCAGGAAATAAACATTCAAAATAGTTGCGTAGTTCGGCATTGGCAGCTTTTTGAAGGTGAAAATCTTTCCACCGCAAAACGCCTCCTCCACTTTTTCGTGGGGAACTTTGCAGCCGTCTGACTGTCCTAATGAATCGTTTAAACGACATGCTGAGGAGTTCATTTAAATGTTCTTTGTGCATTTAACTTTGCGCAAATACTAATCCTGCGAGCTTTCCTTGTGTCACATCCGCACACAAATGCCAAGGCATATAAACGGAAGAACATGCATTAGGGGGTGAAGTCGACACGAAATTCGCGTCTAGAAGCCAACAAGCAGTTCAGATTAGCAGATTGAGTCGGAATAGAGGAAATAAAAAGCAAGTTGTGCTTTATTCGTCGGCGGAGGGAGTTGCATGCAGCCTGGAGGCTGCGGAGTCCACTGACACGGCCCCTCCGCGAGCACTTTTTGCCGCGCTTTCTCTCGAAAACTATTTCTAAATTTCTTTTTGTCCTCTCAAAACTATTTCTAAATTTCCTTTTGTCCTCTTTGCCAGTGTGCGGCGTTCGCCTCGATGTTGGCGACGCAAATGTGCGCGAGTTCTTGCCGCTTCGACAGCTGCAGCGTTTCGTCCATCGACTTCAGTTCATCGTACAGCGGCTGCAGCAGCACAGCCACCCTTCCCCTCCCTGGACATTTAAATCCCTTTTTAATTCAAAATTAAAACATTATTTTACATTTAAATTCATTTTTAATTCAGGATTTATCCCTTCTATTCGAAACCACGCTGCTGCAGCGCAACAGAGCTGATCACAGCAACCCGACTTGTGCACATTCAGTTTGCGCTGCATCTGGATGTGGCAGCAGCAGCAGGAATACATAAAAGAACATCTATTTAGACAAAAATAATAAATATTTGTGCATTTTCTTCCACCTAAACAGATGCATGCAGCTGTTGAACACAAAAAGAACATCTATTTAAACAAAAATAAAAACTATTTGTGCACTTAAAGCGCCAAAAAGGAATAAAAACCAAAAAAAACTCACTTTCACGACGAAGTTGATAAAACCAATTTGAGAAGACACAAATTCCTTCTCATGCAGCGAACGGTCGCAGAGAAAGGACTTCGGAAGCCCCAGACGCTCCTCTTCGTCCCCCTAAAAACAAAACACAAAACACCACCAAGTCCTGCTGCTGCCACGTTGCTGCAGCACGCTGCAGCAGCCGCTGCAGCAGGCTGCAGCAGGCACTGCAGCAGGCTGCAGCAGGCACTGCAGCAGGCTGCAGCAGGCACTGCAGCAGGCTGCAGTGCTCAGCAGGCAGCAGCAGGCTGCAGCAGGCACTGCAGCAGGCTGCAGCAGGCTGCAGCAGCAACTGCAGCAGGCTGCAGCAGCAACTGCAGCAGGCTGCAGCAGCAACTGCAGCAGGCTGCAGCCTGCTGCAGCAGCCACTGCAGCAATGAGCAAGTTTGTGCAATTGGCAATTGCAGTCTTCGCCAACATTTTGTAATTTTTGACAGTTTTTTGCAATTCTTGTCAATTTTATAAAATCTTTTCCAACTTTTTGCAATCTTTGACAATTTTATAAAATCTTTGTCAATTTCCTGCAATCTTTGTCGATTTTTTGCAATCTTTGTCCATTTTTTTGCAATCTTTGTGAATATTTTGTAGTTTTTGTCAAATAAATCCACCAAATCTCACTTGGTCATAAAACTCTGTCACCACGCGTCTGCACCATTCCTCGTGCTGTTCCCAAGAAGTGGCGGCGTGGCCCAAGTCCGCCGCTTTGACGCACATGGAGATGACGCGGCTGAAGTGAAACAAAAGAAAATAAAAAAGAAAATAAATTTAAAATTAAAAATTAAAAATAAAATTAATTAATTAATTCAAACTCTGCATGCATGCAGCTCCACTTGCACAACGTGTTGGTCTGCCTCCTGGATGCCACTGCATGCAGATAGAAATGCGGAAATAAGCCTTTTCTGTACACTGCACTCATTCTGTGGATATTTGCTATTATATATATATATATTTATATAAATGTAAATATATTATATATATTATATATATATTTATATATATATATAATATATATTTAAATGCACTTCATTTGTATTTCTTTTCTGGCTGGAAAACTTCAGAAACCTCGAGAGCGGTGGAGCTGTACATACACTTCAAATATATGCAATGAAGGGACTTCTTCAGAGCTAAGAAGCTGCAGTTTAATGAAACTGATTAAATGCAAATTAAGAACTTTAAACCTTTCCGTATTCGGAGCTTGCAGCAAGAACTGAGGCTAATAAGGCCCACGTTCTGTCTTCTTCGTTGCTGGCAATGTTGAATTCTCCGTTGATTCTTTTGGTTCGAAAAGCACTAATGTGGTCGAAGTGCATTTTCATATCTGTCGATAAAATCCACTCAATTATGTACTTCCGAACTGCGCGGTAAGCGCAGTCCGTCGCCTTCTCCAGAATGTTGCACTGAGGCCTGAGAAAGAAAGAATTAAAAAACAAAAAACAAAAAAAACCCGAGTGGCTCATTCGCTTCCCAGGTGTCTGTACACCCCAGTTCACTTGGCCCGCAAGAGAGTCCCCACGATCTGCTCACTTAAATGCTTCTTATTGTTTTTTTCCAGCTTTTTATTTAGCACTGACACTAATGCCATTCTATTAATGCCATTCCTGCCACATTATTGTTAAATATATTATCCAAAACTCCAAAGTCTAGCCCTACAGCTCATGTGAAACTGAAAAGAACTGCTGCTGCCCAAACTGCCACTTCGAATTTAAAATTTGTGGCATTTTTGCTTTTCGAATTTAAACACTTGTGGCATTTTTGCATTTTGCATTTTGTATTTGTGGCATTTATTATTTATTCGAATCTGCAGCTTAAAATTCGTGGCATTTGTGCATTTTAAAAGTATAAAACTTCGCGGCATTAGTGCATTTAGAAAGTAAAACTTCGTGGCATAAATGCATTTAAATTTAGCATTTGTGGCATTTAGAATACAAAACTGTGGCATCAGCACTTGTGGCATTTAGAAAGTAAAACTTCGTGGCATTAATGCATTTAAATTTAGCATTTGTGGCATTTAGAAAACAAAACTCTGTGGCATCAGGGCATTTGAACTTAGCAGCTGTGGCATTTAGAAAACAAAACTGCGGCACTGATACCATTTTTCGAAGCAATTAATTATTTTTCTTATTTAGTATTTTCATATGAAGGTACAATCAGGGCATTTGAACTCAGCAGCTGTGGCATTTAAACAAAACTGCAGCACTAATGCATTTAAATGTGGCATTTGTGGCATAAATTAACACTTGTGGCATAAATTAGCATTTGTGGCATAAATTAGCACTTGTGGCATAATTAGCATTTGTGGCATAAATTAACATTTGTGGCATAAATTAGCATTTGTGGCATAAATTAACACTTGTGGCATAAATTAACACTTGTGGCATAAATTAACACTTAGCACTTGTGGCATAAATTAGCATTTGTGGCATAAATTAACACTTAATACTTGTGGCATAAATTGGCATTTGTGGCATAAATTAGCATTTGTGGCATAAATTAGCATTTGTGGCATAAATTAGCATTTGTGGCATCTCCCGGGGTGGCCCTGCAGCAGCAGCAGCAGCAGCAGCAGCAGCAGCAGTAGCAGCAGCAGCAGCAGCAGCACTCCGCAGTGCAGGCCGCGTGAGTTCGAACTCGAAAGCGCCAAAAGCGGAGAATAATTCAACTCTTCGCACGCAATTAAGGCCTTTTCGAGATATATTCCCTAGGGTTTAGGGTTTAGGGTTTAGGGTTTAGGTTTTGGGGTTTGGGAGGGCACTGTGAACTGAGTCGATGCGGCGATGCTGCGTGGGCTCTCAGGTGTCTGTACACCGCAGCGCAGGGCTGTGGTTCTGAAAGGGCGTGGAACCACTTCTTGCAAATACATTTAAAATGAAATTTCTGTTAAAAGTGAAACCATTTAGACATTTATTTTCAATTAAATGCAAAAAATAGCATTTCGCCACTTCAAAAAGACTCCACAGAACTCCCACTCACCACATCGTGGCAAAGAGATGCAATTCCAACGGCAATATCTTCCAAGTCGCTCATGCTGCGCGAAAACAACAAAAATAAATAAAATAAAATAAAATAAATAAATTAAAATTGACCTCGGAATAAAAAATGAACAAAATTAGTTGCAATTACCCCCAGCCCTCAGCCCCCTGAGCTGTACGTACACCCCAGCATCAGCAAGAAGCCACAAATAAAAAAGACAGACTTCTAAAAGTGGAGTTCAATTCTAAATATATTATTTAAACAAAAAGAATTAAAAGATAAATTAATTCCAAAATATTCGCCAAAGAAAGAAAACTAAAACTTACAATTCGCGGACGCGAAGCATTTCAAGAAGACAAATGGCCATGTGGCAAACCTGCAGGAGCGCAAAACAAAAGTTAAGAGAACGAGGATTGAACTAATAATAATAATTTTAATAATAATAATAATATAAAATAAGTAATAATAATAATAATAATAATAATAGTAGTAATAATAATAATAATAACAATAATAATAATAAAAAATAATAATAATGACAATCGCGGAAAATGAAATTAATAATTGGAAAATAAAATAAAGAATTGCAAAATGAAGTTAATAATTGGAAAACAAAATAAACAACTGGAAAGTGAAATAAAAAATTGCAAAGAGAAATTGATAATTGAAAGATGGACTAAATAATTGAAAGTGGAATAAAAAGGCGGAAAACGAAATAAACAATTGGAAATAACTGAAAGCCAACTAATTGAAAAAATGAAATAAAAAATTGAAAACGAAACAAATAATCAAAAAAAACAAATAAGTAAAATGAAATAAATAATTAAAAAGACTAACAGTGGCTCCGTGAAGTGCGTTATGGTAAGGATTTTCTCTGTAGGCGCTGTTGACTTCATTTAGCACTTGAAAATAAACAAAAAACATATTTATTTAGATAAAAATTAAAATAAAATAAAACAAATAAATAAAATGAATAAATAAAAGACTAACAGTGGCTCCATGAAGTGCGTTGTGGTAAGGATTTTCTTTGTAGGCGCTGTTGACTTCGTCTAAGAAGTTGGAAAGGACATCTGTGTTGAGACTGATGTCCGGAGAAAGACAAAAAGGAGACAAAATTGTGAATCCAACTTCGAACAAAGGTCGCGAACTCTCGCGACCAAATTGAATAAAATCTAAACTCCAGTCCACTCCGATCTTGGCGCTGTACTCCTTCAGCGCCTGCTGTACGTACACCCCAGCCACGCGCCCCCCCGCAGAACTGCCCCCGTCACTTCAAATCATTTTTTCTTCTTTTTTCAACTTTTTCTTTTTTAATTTTTTTTCTTCTTTTTCAATTTTTTGTTTTTTGTTTTTTCGCAAACTTTTGCGGATTTTTATTGCAACTTTCTCGCTGGCTTTAGCGGCTTTTATTCGCAACTTTTATTTGCAACTTTTGCTGCTTTTTAGGACGACTTTTAAACTCCAAAACTTCACAAGTCCTTTCTGAACTTTCGCTGACTCTTCTATTCTGCACTTCAAATTTGCACTTCTAAATTAAATTCCAACTCCAAATTTGCACTTCTAAATTAAATTCCAATATTGCATTTTTAATTAAATTCCAAATTTGCTTTTTTAAATTAAATTCCAACTCCAAACTTGCATTTCTAAATTAAATTCCAAATCTGCACTTCCAATTTGCATTTTTAGATTAAATTCCAAATTTGCATTTCTAAATTAAATTCCAACTCCAATTTTGCATTTTTAAATTAAATTCCAACTCCAAATCTGCATTTCTAAATTAAATTCCAAATTTGCATTCCCAATTTGCATTTCTAAATTAAAATCCAACTCCAAATTTGCATTTTAAATTAGCATTTCCAATTTTGCAACTCCAAATTCGATTTGTAATTCGCGTTTTCAATTTGCACTTGAACTTTTTTCAAACTGCATTTCGAATTCTATTTCCAAAAATAATATTTGAATTCGAACTTGAATTCGAATCTGAATTTAAATTTAAATTTAAATTTAAATTCAAATTTAAATTTAAATTTGTATTTAAATCTGAATCTAAGTTTGAATTTAAACTTGAATTTGAATTTGAATTTGAACTTAAACGAATTTAAATTTGAACTTGAATTTGAATTTAAATTCGAATTCGTATCTGAATCTGAATCTAAATCTAAATTTGAACTTGAGTTTGAATTTAAATTCGAATTTGAATTTAAATTCGAATGTGAATCTGAACCTGAATCTGAATCTAAACTTGAATTTGAACTTGAGTTTGAAATTGAATTTGGATTTAAACTTGAATTTACATTTGAATTTAAATTTGAATTTAAATTTCAATCTAAATCGAAATTTGAATTTGAATTTGAATTTAAACTTGAATTTAACTTCGAATTTGAATTTGAATTTGAACTTGAGTTTGAATCTGAATCCAAACTTGAAGTTGAACTCGAGTTTGAATCTAAATTTGAATTTAAACTTTAATTTGAATTCGAGTTCGAATTTGAATTTGAACTTGAACTTGAGTTTGAATCTGAATCTAAACTTGAACTTGAGTTTGAATTTAAATTTGAATGTGAACTTGAATTTAAATTCGACTTTAAATCTGAATCTAAATCTAAATTTGAATTTGAACTTGAATTTAAATTTGAATTTAAATTTGAATTTGAATTTGAACTTGAATTTAAATTCGAACCTGAATCTGAATCTAAATTTGAATTTGAATTCAAACTTGAATTTAAATTTAAATTTGAATCTAAATCTAAATCTAAATTTGAATTTAAATTTAAATTTGAATTTAAACTTGAATTTAAATTCAAATTTGAATTTGAACTTTAATTTGAATTTGAATTTGAATTTGAATTTGAATTTGAAGTTGAATATTTTGGAAGCTCACGAGAGTGTCTACAGTTCCGAAAACTCGCGTGCGGCGCCTGACGGCCAAACTGGTCATGCGGGAAAGCTTTCTGGGTCTGCTGATTCCTTCCCTCCTCAAGTCCGACACGTAGCTCTTCGCGAAACCCTGAAAAATTAAAAAATAAAGAACAAAAACGCATGCAAATCGCATGCAAAACGCATGCAAAACGCATGCAAAACGCATGCAAAACGCATGCAAAGAGCATGCAAAACGCATGCAAAATGCACGCAAAATGCGTGAAAATCGCAGGCACAATGCTTGCAGATCGCGTGCTGCAGCAACACGCAGCAGCAGCAGCAGCAGCAGCAGCAACAGCAGCAGCAACAGCAGCAACAACACGTGCTGCTGCTGGAAATGGTTTGCAAATTTGAAGTTTCGCTCTCGTTCAAATTATCATTTGCAACTTCTCCCGAGATTCCCATTTCACACAAAATGAAATGAAACAAAACTATTTACAAAACCCACTTAAATATAAAAAACATATATATATACATATATATATATATATATATATATTATATATATATATACGTTATACATATATATAACAGAAAAATGAACAAAGAACATATATTTGCAAATATTAATTATATTTAGTTATTAAAACACTTTTTGGCCCACGTCTTTGCAA